GTGGATTGTAATTGACATGAGTATTTTTGTCCTATTTGATTAAGAATAGGCTTGTCCATGTATACACATATGTTAAGCAGATATTTGACTTATTTTTTGAATGTGTAATTGAACTAAGTGTTAAGTGGTTAAGTGTTGTGAGCCTATATGATTTTATTAGGTTATGAGACACTAAAGGACTAAACATTCCTCGAAGAACTTATCACCTACTCTAAGATATATAATGCACTGGTCATTGTATGATAGGATAGTTATATCATGTTAGGTGAAATTATGACCTCAACATTGTTTTCATGTGAAAATTAAGCATGACATAGAGAGATGCTATTGGGTGTCAAGTTGACAAGGGGTGGACTTGTGATGGCTAATCCTGGGTGTCAACTTGACTGGATCTGGGATTAACTGAAATGAAAGAGATCTTCTTGATTGGATCATCTGAAACTGGAAAATCCTAAGTGTGGGTGTTACGTTCTGATGGCAGCCCGTATAATAGGCCAAAGCACAAGAGAACGCCAGGCTTTTGCTGCTTGCCTTCTGTCTTGCTGGTGAGTTCATCTTGCTGCTGTAGACTGAAGACTAGCTGATTTTTTGGAATTTGTCAGACCTTCAGTGCCAGATTGGGACTACTGAGACATCCAGCCTTGTGGACTGAGCAACTTCGGATTCTCAGCCTCTCCAATGTGGTTCAGCCATTGTTGGACTTCTCGGACTCTATCCTGTGAGCTAAGCTGATAAATCTCTATACACATACATACATATTCATTCTACCGGTTCTGTTTCTTTTGAGAACCCTGACTAATACAATATGGGAGGAGAGGGAAAGAGGTACAAGACTGAAAGGCCTTAAGAGAATAAAAAGAAATGAAACTATGAAGAAACAAACTAAAACAGTAATCAAAGAAGTAGGTCATCTACATACTGCACGATGATGGAGCAGTTAAGGTCTAGGGAAGTTAAATCCCAGCTAGAGCTTTTCCAAAGAGGTGAGGGCTATCTTGAAACCCCTGGGGCAGGACAGTCCAGGTTAGTTAGGAAGCCATTCGAGTGTCAGGGTCCTCCCAGGTGAAGGCAAAGAGGTTGTGAGAGTCAGGATGTAAGGGTATTGAGAAAAAAGCATCTTTAAGGTCTAAGACAGTAAAGTGAGTGGCGGAGGAGGGGGTGTGAGAAAGAAGAGTGTAGGGGTTGGGAACCACTGGGTGAATGGGAATAACTGCTGAATTAATGAGCTGGAGATCCTGGACCAGATGATAAGAGCCATCAGGCTTGAGGACCA